AACAACAACAACAACAACAACAACAACAAACAACAACATCAAACAACAACAACAATAATAATCTTAGTATATTTTTTTAGCTCAATTTTTAATAAACTTTTTATCTAATATTTTATCTATATAACTTATCTAATATTAGCATTTTTTTTCTTTAATATTACATATTTTAATATTAGTATATCATATAATTATAATCATAATATTAACATTATATCCATAATATGATTTTCATATAATATTAGCATGCTTTTTCACTTAACCCAATTTTTAATAAACTTTTTTCATTCATAATACAATAATACTTCATATAAACCAGTTCATCTATTTGTATTAAATAACAGAATAGAAATAATTCGTAATATGGACAGACAATAAACAACTAAACAGTGATATATTATAGAACAATAATATAAAAATAGAAAAAATAAACAAATAACGGCAATAAAAAAATTTGAAAACAATGAAACAAATAGATAAAAAGATAATATTGAAAAAAAAAAACAAAGTAATTCGCTCATTTTAAAAATTTATTAGCAACAATTTTCATAACATTTGACAATTGAATACGAAATTTGTTTAAACTATCTTAAGTTTGTTAAGCTTTGAAGTATTAAATCCCTCGAGAAAATGTCACAAAAATGTTTAAGTTGAAAAAAAAATGTTAAATTTAACTTGTTATTATTGGCATCGATCAATACTGATAATAATCAAAAAAGGAAAGGAAAAATGTTGTCCGTAAAAAATAAGCAATAGTTCACAATGTCTCTCTTTTGTTACTATTGAAATTTTACAATTTTAAAATTTAAACGAATTTGACTTTTATTCATACAAATTATATTCAGTAAAATGTTGTTTCTAATTTAATACAGTTTCATTTGAAGAATTAATGGATTTTCTGCGAAAAGGAAAGCATTCAATTCTTTTATATGAATATGGAAAACGAAATAAATAAATAATGAATAGAATTTAAATGAATGAAAAGTTTAACAAACATGAATATAACAATGGAAGAGAAATGAGGGAATAAACAACGAATTGGTAAATATATAACTGAAAATAATCAAACCCATATTTATTACTCATTTATTTCATAACCATAATTATTGTGATTATTTAATTTGCATATAAAAAATGTATTTCTGATTGATGGAAAAGTTTTTCACATTTTCGGATCATCAAAATTTAATATTTTATAGACCGAAAATAAATAAATAATGAATAGAATTTAAATGAATATATTATTTCAATGTTTATTTCTTATTCAATGTTTATTTCACTGAAAATTTTTTGTTTGCTATTTATTTTGCTTACTTTTTTCTTGATTAAAAAAATGATATCCAATTGAAACTTTTTCTCGAACAGTTAGTAAGATGATCAGAGTTGAACAGTGTAATGACGTTCCATGAGAAATGAACAATGACCTATTGAATGACCAAACGAATATTCGTTTGGTCATTCACGACTGTTCGGCATTTCAAACAAATTTGCATTACAAACTGACGAATAACTGAAAAAAATTATCGTTTTCAATTGTCGCCCTTGTTCATTTTGCGCAATGACAATGAATTGAATTTAAAATTTAACAATCGAATTTAAATAAACGCCAAGAATGAATTTTATGGGAAAGCTGACAAGTAATTAGACAGAAAAAATTCTAAAAAGTATTTACCAAAGTCAAAATTGAACGAAAAATGGTGATTATTTGATGTTCGATGTCATCACAGCTCTCGGAATGTTGGCGGAATCATTACATCGGACTATAGCGCTTCCAATCAGCAGTGGCGAACAAAATTAGCCTTCTAATTAATTTCCGCACAACACTTCACCATATATCAGAAGTTGAAAAAATCAGGCCATAAAAATCTTGTCTCATTTATCAATAACTAAATGTGCCTTACTTCTGTTGGCCAACTGTTACTTCTGCAAATATTTCGACAATTTTTTCTACAAAAAAAAAAAAAAAATACACAGTAGGAATGTAAAAAAAGAAAAAAAAACTTTCAAAAGTCAATCGAATTCCAATTTCTATGCTAAAAGAGCAAAGCAAACCGATTTGTAATTTCTTTCCGGTATATTTGAGTATATTTAGAATGATTTGAAAATCAAAGGTTATAAGAAATATAATTATTTCCGTTTCAAACTAAGAAACACAATAGCAAACGAAAAACTAATTCTATTTTCAATATTTGAACGAAGGTAAATCATAAATCTGTTTCAAAAAGTATTAGTTAAATTTATCATTTAGATTTAGTGTCATCTGTTATCAATTTTGCACTATACATATTGCTCCAAAAATGTCCAAGTTTATTTTGATAAGTAAATTTCAACAACATTTGAATTTCAGAATGTTTTAGTGTATATTTCGCCTGAGTTTAAAGTACTTTTTTTTACGAAATTTCGAAACTCTTCCTTTTCTATAAATTTGATAAGCAATTTAATTAATTTAAATTTTAAGAATTCTTAATTTAAACCAAATTTACCGAGTAGTAAATCATAAAAAAAATTTTTCAAATATTCAAAACTATTCATCTCAATATATACAATTACTAAGAGTGATAAGTATGTAGAAATAAGGATATAGAATATGCAAAATTTATAAATGTGGAATAGTTATTATGAATAACGCAATAAACCATGCAGATGTGAAAGTAATTGTGAAAAGATCAGTTGGAAAATTTAAAAAAAAACTAAAAAAAATTTTTTTAGACGATATTATTTCGCTTGTAATATGTAACGAAATAAATATTTCCAAGCATTGACAAAATAATTTCAAGAAAGGAAAAGAAAGTAATATATTTGAAAACAATAAAAATGTGGAATGGATTTGCACAAAGTCAAATTATGCAAATAGAAAATGACAATTTATTAAGAAAAAGCTTAACAATTTTTTCTCACTTAAACAGCTTATTACTTTTTTTTTTTCATTTTTAATATTGACTGCAGCAATCGAGATAAAGTTCGGCCAATATTGCAACATCACTACTACAATTTTTAAAGGAAACACTAAAATTCATAACTGAAGTTGAAAAAGAAAGGCATTAAATCTGATCTTTATGCTAAAACATGCAACTTCACTTACATTTCAACATTTTAATCGCTATTTTCATTTTAATTGCACTTTCATTTGATAAGTGGATAGCTAAATCTTATCTGATTATTTTTTAAATGATGATAGCAAACAAATTAATAACATTTATTTGAATTTACAATTTAAATTTGTTGACGAATTATTAGCATTAGCTCAATGCACTACAGTGAGTAATTCATTACATTTACGTTCCAAAGTTTAAAAAAAAAGACGACAATAATTGAAGCAAACGGGTTATTCAATAAATGAGAAGATATGAACAGAAAAGAAAAATCCAACTAATAATTCGCATTTGAGGTTATTTTGATGAAATAAATCGTTTACTATAATTAAGCATCATATTTATATGCAACATTTTAGCTTATTCAATTTATACATTTTATATTACTGTGCGAAAAATGAAGAATCTATCACATTTTGACATAAAATATATGTCATAAAATAGTTCTAAATATGCAGCTAAAAAATCCCATTGCATCCACCGAATTATCTCTATTAGTTTCATTATATGTCATAAAAACAAATTCAAATATGAATATTTTAATCGTCATTAGCAATCAATATATAATATGAAAACAAAAATCAATAAGAATGAGCAATTATATTGAAAACAATTATATATTTTTCGACAAAAATTAAGTAGCATCAATGATAGAAATAAATTATCACATCTATTACGAAGTTATTTTAATATAGAAATAAGCAATATTTGGTAGAGAACGATCACGCTACTTCTCAAGACCAACATCGACTGGCAAAATAGAGCATATCATTATAAATTTTTAAAATAATACCTGTCAAATTTACTACAAAAATAACGCAACAAAAAGTATCGACAAATAAACTATAAAACTACTCAATAAATAATATTTAATTAAAACAATGCCTAATTAATACCACTCACAACTACTCTTAGTAACAACTGAATAAGGCAATGAAATACGCTTCATCACTTCCTTTCTCTCTCACTTTCTTTAGACACCCGGTTTGAAAATTGGCTAGGCTTCATGAATCGATTTTTAAGCCTGATGGATTATCCTTTTTGATTTATGTATACATTTTCTTTCACAAACTTCCCAAAATTATTCTCTTCCAAAAAATTCAGAAAATCATTCATATAATAACAACTTCTGAGCAATTTAAACAGCAGTAGGTGTTCCACTCTTCGGCAAAACATCAGCATGTACATCGCCTTCCTTTGTGCATACGCCTCGTAGCAAATCATCTGCAACAAGTAGCTTAAGTATTACATAAACAATTTTCGTTTTTTATTTAAATTTCAAATCAAATTCGAATTCATTAAAGCGTTAATTTAAATTTTACAGATTTCAGCTTTCTGATGTTCATTCCTTCGTTATATGCTGCTTTAGTAGCTCCTAGCATCACTAATGTAAACCATGACATAATGCATAATTGAGTAAAATTTGCAACCTTAAATTATATCATTAATGATGGCGCAATAAAAACGATGATAAATGACGAGGGAGAAATAAGGATATGAAGACAAAAACTTAATGAAACTAATAAAGACATAAAAAAACTGGCAAGATATAACCGCAATTAGAACATCCAAGTAAGAATGAAATGACGATAAAAACTAAAACTTCAAAAAGAATAAATTCAAATTTTACAACTCTTGCAGGCTGCATCAATGAATTATCATAAATTTCTGGAAGAACAAAATTCCCGAGGTTTCAAAAGTTTTTCTCCTCTTGGTAGCTGATAATATAATGGATAAGAATCTGAACCGATAAATGGAAGAAATAATAAAATCAAAAACTAGAAGGAAAAAAAAAGTAATTACCTACAAATTTACTCAAACTTCTGCTCATTTGCATATTGCATACATTTAAACGAAGTGCTTCTGCTTGCTGTTCACCAACATCATATGAACTTTTCGATATGTCATTTGTCGTGACAGATTTGCATGATTCGCCATCACAATCTCCTATGAATTATAATATCGACAAACGATAAAAGTTTTCAGAAAATCGATTAAATTAATTCCCCTCATAGATAAAATTAATTTGGATTTCAGTCTAGTGAATCTAAAAAATACAAATTACGGCAGAAAGTCAAAAAAGCTAACATTATTGTCTTATTTGCTGACTAAGCTCAGTAAAATAATTAAATGAAAAGAAATAGCATCAGAATATTTAAATACTACTCTCATGAAATTAGCTAACAAACAGCTCAAAGATTGGTAATACCGGAAAAGCAGAACATATAGCTTACGGAAAGAAGGCCCTCCGTTTCGGTATAATCTATTTGTCGGAGATGAAAATAAACCGGACTTCCTGTTACCATCGGTCATTGCAGCTGCTTGGGCTATGCGTTCACTGACATCCGAATGGATCTGCAATTAAATACACTGAAATTCTTTTAGTTCAAACTAAATTAGGAAAAAAATTACTTCAATTAGTTTGAATTACATTTAATTTCACTGCTCCAGAAGCAGTACCATTCTTATAAAAACTGAGATAATAAAATGAATGATCATCCACAAATAGTCACTGAGCACTATCGTTAATGCAGAATTAGTAGTATAGCTGTAGCCTCTCAAAATCATTGTACCTGCTGAAAAGTACGCTTTTTTCCGTTTCCATGCTCTGAAGTTGTACCGGAAGAGGAAGATTTTATGAAAGATTCAATGGCATCGAATAACTGATTGACATTCATCGATTCCGGCAAATGGGTAAGGAAATGGACTACAGCATCAAAATCGTTCATACTTTCCAGCTCACACTCATATAAATGCATAATTCCTGCATTATCACCAAAGTATGTTCAGTTTGTTGTTAATTTAAAAATCTTGCATATAAATTGTTTATGAACTGCTCAATCTTACTTTCTGATAAGAAAATAAAGTTCAAGAAACAATCCCAAAGGTTAACAATCAAATAAAAAATATGTAATGACTGCTATAATAAAATAATCGTAGAATTAGAAATGAATAAATAATTTTCCTTATTTATGTTTGCAATATGAATAATTAAAGCTCGGGAGCGTATGGAGCATAGAAAATTGGCAGTGATCGAAGGAAAAAAAATGTTATAGATTGGAAAAGATCTTGACGATTTTAAGCTGATTAACGCTGATAGAGATTTTGTAATGCTTCAGCAAATAAATGCAAACAAAAATAAGTAATTAACCGAGAGCTGTATTAAAGATAAACTGTTCACCATCCCGCAAAAACACATCCCAAATTCGACAGCACACATCAAATGGTAATGATTTTGCATAAAGCGTATATACCCTGAAAACTGCCGATTGTTAATCCGCATTCCAAATTAATGTTGGCCCTAAAAAACTTTTGCCGAAAGTCACGGTCGATATTACGAAAATCCAAAAAATGATCGGAATCAATGAGCTTTCAGTCAATAATTAAAGAATGGAAATAAAAAATAACAACTTACCATTCAATCAGATACATATCAGGACGAACATCCAGCATATCAAAGTGATGATGCAATTTAGGTAATTCCTGCTCAAAGTATTGGTCATACGCAATAAAATAGACAGTCATTTGAGGTTGCCGCAATCCAAAAAATGCTAGCTTAAAAAAATTTTTTTTAAAAAAAAAAGACAAATTTTTGTAAGGTTTCCGAAAGAAGTTTAATTCTAACAGACAAAGTCCTTTTTGGACAATCAAAGATTGTAATCGCAAACCAATATGGTTAAATAAATAACATTTAAATTACCATCAGTGGTCGATTAAGTAAGTTGGCAAATGCCTGAAATGACTGATACGGTTGGTGTATTTGGAGGAGAATCATAGCACCAAGAAAGCACATCGACTGTACATAACCAATATCCGGACGATAGCACACATAAGCACCTAACAAATCCGAAAGCAACTCTTCATATGGTCCACCCTACAAAATCTATATCATTTATTAAAGCATATATAAGATTCCAAGACTGAAAGTATATTCTTGAAACCATTTCCTATGTTGCTCGTTCGAATTTTTATCAAATGCAGTGGCATTTCTTGCCACTGTAAATTATATGTAAAAATAGAAAATTAAATTCAAAACAAGTGGAAAATTAAATAAACTATTTTTCCACCTTTTTTAACTTGCTATATTTTGCTAGTACTACAAATTTCAGCATCATTCAAACCAATGAAAAACAAACCTTCTGGAAAAAACCCAAATGTGGGAAGGTTCGAGAAATATCAAGATGAATCAGCTCAAGAGTACTTTCATATCCTATTGGCCTCTCTCTATCACTGTCTGCTGGAAAACTAATTATTTAACATTTCTTTACAAATTATTATCAAAATGATGCAAAACTGCACTCAAAAATATTTAGAATAACCTTTTGATAAAATAGATAGAATGAATCGCTGATCGTCATCCACAAAGCCAGTAACTGAAGAACTACTAATATCGCATTGTCCTGTCATAGTTTTAGCAAAGGTATGTTGCTTTGCTCGAGCAACACAGATATCGTACAACTCTATAAAATTAATAATGAAAGAAATAGAGGTTCCAAATTTGATTCATAACCTGCTAGGAAACACTATGAATAATAAATTTCATAAACGGATTTCACCTGGTGTTAAATTTAATTCATTACCAATAGCCAAAGACCAAACATGACCACGTACTTTTGATGGTATACCACGCCACCATAAGTCACGACAATATTTGCCATCTTTCCTGAAAACAAATAATTTCTAGAATTAAAGTGAGGTAATCAGGAGTTTTCGGATCTTTACACACTAACCAGCAAACCAGTGATTGAAAGAAATTAATAAAACAGTATTCATGATATAAATTAAGCAAAATGGTATGAACACGACTGAGGTTGTGCTTATGTTTCTTGCAATGCTTTACAAAATTAAGCCATTTTTCTGAAAAATTGAATATTTCATATGATCTTATTATATCAACAAGTTTTTCGGAGATGAATTTAAGATGTTATTTCAAATAAGAAATAATTCACCAAAGAAACGTAAGCATTAGTCAAATCCTACACATCGGGATTTAATTTAAGCACTAGTAACTGAATTATCCTTATATGCGCACCGTTTTTAATGATTTACATATTGCTCACGTATAAGAAATGTTTTTATGAATTCAAAAGAAATGATCCAAAAAAAGAATTGAAAATTCTGACTAATAAACTAAACTTAGAACTGAAAAATGAATTATGTTCTTAAGTGAACAAAAAAAATCAAACCTTACAAAATGCCAGGCTTAAATTTAGTATAGTCAAAAAACACACATATTTTCCCAGTTAGGCAATATTCGGCTGCACCATATTTCAGCTGCTGCAGCTGTTTTGTCCTCCTCTTTTCGCTTCATTTCTAATAATTGTTGTCGTTGACGCGCACGTTTAGCCTCCTGACGTTTGGTTGCTTCGATAAGTGCCAAATATTGCGCTTCATGACGTCGTTGTTCTGCTAGTGATTTCGCTGGTAGAGTACTGTAATAAAGGCGGAATTCTTAATTTAATTTCATTGCCCACATAAAACTTTGTCTAACTTATTAAAATTCTATTTTTTCAGCTGCTACATTTTTAATTTGCAATAAATCCTACTCAGGAAGCGAACGATTATGATCAAGAATTTGATAGTGATAATGGATGAAGAACACGAAGAACGTTAACTTGGAACTTTTAAGCAGATATTGAAGATAGCATCTTATGGTCAGTAGACTCAAATCAGTCGGAGTTATTAATAGTGTAATCAATTAATGTGTACGATCAATAAGTTGATAGCTGACAATTAAGCTAATAGCCATGCATCCATGATTTACTACTAGAACATATCGTATAATAGCGATCGGATAATTTTAGTCATTTCATCGATGATTCCTCAAAATGATATCTAATCGCATTCTTTAAATAAATTAAAAACTTGCAGTGTACGTTTTAAACTCAGTCAGAAATAAATTCAATTAAATTTAATATCTAGCAGACCTTGGCCTGTCTTCCAAAATCAAACCAGTGGTAGAGCAGCATATGTCATCAGTTGCTGAACTACACGACGCATCAGTTGCTGTGGAAGCATTTATTCCTCTACTACTATTTTTCCACTGCTTATTTCCAAATATTCGCCAAGAACTTGTATGCTGATAATCTTGTTGTTTATTGCGAGAAAATAATTTTCTAAAAAAGTTAATTTGGAAACTACAAGACAGTAATTCAAATAGATCAATACAACCTACAAGAGAAAATCAAATGTTATCTCTTAATTATGGCATACAATTTGTCAAGAGTTTTAAAAAAATATGTAGGTTAAACCCGAATTTTAACTTTCAATCAAAGAATTGCTGGCACCTTTTCCAAGGTGCTTCTAGTTCACCCTTCATGACTTACCGTATGTAAAGGACAAACCTTGCAAAAGTACTGGATAACAGTACCAAGGCATTCCGTCCTCCCTTTTTATTTCGCTTCCGCATCTTATCATCAACCGTGGTGTCCATATTATCCAAACCAATGCCGTCATCACTGTCTCTATCTTCATCATCAACGCTATCAACATCACCGTCGCGGATGACCCCAGCCGATAATTCACTACGACAATCTAACGAACTCCGTTTTGAACTCAATGACTCACCTGTAATCACTTAACGAGTTTGTTAAATTGTATTTGAAAATGTTTTATTAGCTTAAAAAATCCGATGCAGTTCCGTTCATTGAAGGCAATAAAGTGGAATTAAAATATAAATTCCGAATTAAATCCTTATTATCATTTTGGTTAATCCACTCGCTTGTAGGAACAAATTGTTATAATCTACTTTTTGCCAGTTCGTCATCTCGATAAATTTATAATCATTTGACAACAAAATGTCTTGGATGGAATTTTTGGAAAATATTACAAACGTCTGTTCTTAAAATCGTTAAGAAATAAAACTTTAAAATTTATGGTACATAAGGAAGCTTGATAATAAATTATACCACTATAAGTACAATATACAAGTTTACCGATTGCAGAATCATGAACTGTCCCAACTGTTGTAGAAGTTGGAGTTGTAATTGTCATAGCACCATTAGTAGTAGCAGTCGTACTGACAAATGGCGGCGAATCATCAGAACGTTGATTACAAACTCTTTCTACATCATAATCATCTTTGAAAGAAATTGAGCGTGAGAAATGGCTGCATTCGAAAGATGATGACGGCGATTTCTCCATTTTTGATAACGACTGTGATTGCAATCTTCAAACAATGATGAAAATGAATGATTGCATAAATTTTCTCGATTAATAAAAAGTATAAAAACATTAAATAATACCATATGTCTTATTTCAAATGTGAGTAGAGATAACAGAAATGAGTTGAATATTCAAATTCAGATTTTATTTAGAGGCCAAATAATACAAAAGGATGAAATAATAAGCCGAGAAGTATAAAAGAAAGGCAAAATGCTACTGACGCACGAAATCGTTGCCTTCGAAATCGTGTTAAATAACCAGTTTGATGAGCGGGGAAAGGCAATAATGCAGTGAGGTTTAACATTTCTTTCTTTTTCCGATTCTTTTTATTGTAAACAAAATATGAAGCGAGGAATTTGATTTTCCATAGAAATTGCTTTAATAAAGGTCAAAAAACTGAATGAAACGGATGACCTATATATTCAACTCTCAACAAATATCTCTCGTTTATATTAAAACCTACAAAAGTAATAACAAGAATGAATTAAGAATAAAATCCGATTGATAACTTTGAGTACAAGTTAAGTGAAAAATAAAAATAAGGTAAGCGAATTAATTACTTCATAAAAGAACCCGGAGTAGTCAAGGATTTGTTATTTATCCAATGAATATTGCGATGAAAATTTGGATGACGAGGGTGGTGCGTCAATTGAATCTGTGCCGATTCATAAGAGGAACGGCGACGATGGCCTCGTTTGAATGATACCTTTTCCTCTCTCTCGTTACTTTCTGCTGCAAAAAAAAGAAAATAAATAAAAAAATAGGAAAAATTTTGAAATAATTAATTAGAGACTTTGGAATAGTATTTAATAGATGAATTATTTTACTAATTCGTATCTCTCACGATTACTCATTCATTCGAATAAAAAATTTTAATATTTGATGAGAACTTTTAAAGTTTTTTAAAATTTTGCTATTCATATACTAAAACTAGATGGTCAATCAGTTTTTTAACCACTATTTACTCGAATACTTAACTCTCTAAAATTTAGTAAAAAAATATAATAATAAAATATCTAATACCATTCAACCCCTTAATACTTTAATAAAATATCACTGATTATTATTTGCAGCAACTTATTGTAAATCAGTATTTTGTTGCCCCTAAGACCCACAGCATATTTAACTGTATATCATGAAAATTGTGAAGCAAAATCAATAAAGTAAACATTCGCTATAAATGTAATATAATAGAGAAAAAATGAAACTAACAATACGATTAGGATAGGACAAGAATGCACTTACTTTAGTGCATATTATTTTAAAAATGTTTATTACATTGCACTTCATATATTTTTTAACTTCGTTAATAAAATCCAATTTTATTAATAATAAGATTAATGAGCAGATAAATTAATTGTTGCCTCAATTGCTATTTAAAATGTATTAAATTAACTGCTAAACAAAAAGATTATATTTGTATCGGAAATTATAACTATTTTCATTTCCTAGTGAAATTTTTGAAATGAAAATCTATGAAATGATTGATAGCATAATGGAAGAAATTTATAGAAGAATTACAGCAAAAATTTCGTCTCAAAGCACCGATTCATATGTTAGCTTTATTCTAACATTTCTCAAGAAAATAGCGGCGTTATAAACGCCGCTATTTTCTTCTTACAGCGCAATTCTGCATATGATTTTTGATTCCTGATATAAAGAATATAAAAGATGGCCATTTTTTGAAAAAAAAAATGAACATTTTGTGAATAAAAAACATGAGGATAGACAAATGTTATTTTAAAAAAATAGACAATGAAGAGGATAAAAACACCAATAAATTGAATAAACAATCATCATAAATTGAGCGGATTAGGAAGGGAATAAAGAAATAACAAAACCACAGCTAAAATTTAAAATTAGAAATTAAAGAGTTAAAATAGGCGGAAAAAAAATCTTGATATTTAATAGTAAAAGCAAAAGAAGCAAATAAATAAATGTAAATAAAGTTGGTGATAAAATTAGAAACAAAAAAAGAGAAAATTATAAATAAAAAACAAAAAAAGAACTGAAATTATGTAATGACAGAAAATGATATTCGATGGAGGATAGAATTATGTAAAAAACTAAAATCAAACAGTGACAAAATTGGTGCTTTATTACTGATCATGAAAAAAC